CTGGCACAGACTTTCTGGCTTCCACCGCTGACCCTTGGGTCTTCCCGGCAGGGATCCATAAAAGAGACTGGCATGAGTCCTTCTTGTGGGCTCTGGACCTCCAGTTGGACTCGTGGAGGCACTGTCCTGAGCTCTGGGTTTTTATCTGGACTCACGTGGAACATTGCCGTGCGGTTTTAGGCTCTTGACTAAGTAATCTATGTCTTTGGTGTTGCAAATGGATTTCCTGCATTTTCCTGTGTTAACTTCCGGTGACCATTATAAAAATATTATAAATTCCATGTCCTAATCCTAGTTGTTCTCTGTGTACAAGCTCTGACTACAACAACCACCCAGACCTGAAGGACACTGTCCCAAGTCACTGCTGGGAATGGTGGTACTGGGTGGGAACCCCAGGCAGTCTGTCTCCAGCAGTCGAGTCCCGACCCACTGATAAACCCCGTCTCCTAGTGTCACACCTTCTCCCATGGGGGAACAGAATTCCTGGGTGCAATGGGGAACCAGGCGATGAGAAAAATACACAGCGAGGACGCAGAGGACAGAGAGAGACACCCCAGACTCCTCCAGAAAACGAGGTGGTGACCAATCTCTCTCCCTCAGCCTCCCTGGCCACGAAAGAGCCTTCTGTCTTTGGGGACACCTCACTTTGAAGCCAGTAGGCCAGGCTGAAGTCCAAATCCCTGCTACAGACTTCAACAGACTAACAGGTCCTTCTCAACCCAGCTGGACCCAGAAATGAAGCAGAAAAGATGGTTTTGACACAGAAGGCCAAACAGACCAGCAAAGTGTTCAAAGCCTGGCTTGGTTCTGTAACCTCAGGAAAAAATCTGAGCTTCCAGAACACTGTTTGCATCTGTAAAATGGGAACATAATGTCTGCCTCTCTGCAGTTACACTTAGGGTCTCTGATCCAGGCCCCGAGGATGGACAGGCAGGACCTCACACTGGAAGACGTGCAGACTGGTTCCAGCTCTACAGAGGCAATTTGAGTCTCTCCCTCCCGCCCCATAGTCCTCCTGCCCTCTCCTTCTCCTCTGCTCCTTCTACAATTCAGCAAGCATACAGCACCAGGCGCTGTGACGGGCACTTCACAAATACCAGCTCCTTGTCTGTAAAAATGATGGCCAGGAGTCCTTTCACTGTGTCCCTGTCCTGGGAAAGTCTCCTCCCACGAGGGCTCTAGGCTTGGCCATGGGACCTGCCGAGGTCAGTGGGATGACTGCAAATGTGACAGCAACAGAAGCCCGGAAAGGTCCAGTGCTATGTCTTCCCTTGCTGCGCTGTGGAACCCCGGGGCCACCCTGTGAAGACACCCGATCTAGTCTCCTGGAGCATGAGTGCACCCCTGCCCTCCCAAATGGGTCCCAGAAGACCAACTTACCTGCCAAGCACCAGACTTGTGAGAAGGCCACCCTAGAATGTCTCGCCATCAGCTGGCCCTGAGAGGACCTCAGAAGCAGGAAAGGCTCCAGCAGAGATCACTGGGCTGGCCCAACCCAGAAGGGCCACCAAGCCAACCCACAGACTCCTGAGCTAAGGAAAATGATTACCATTTCATTCACTTCACTTAGGGGTGACTTGTTACACATACAAACTGACCAACACACTCTTGCCAGGCAGTTACTACTGATGTTCCTATTTTGCAAATGAATCAACCTGAGCAAAGAAGGGTGAAGTACAATGAGTAAACAGCAGAGCTGAGATTCAACCTCAAACAATGAGAGCTCTTTAAAAAAAAAAGGCAGAAATGATACAGAATTTTTAAAAAAAGTAGGAAATTGACACTAGTCCATACATTGCATACAGTTATTATAAAAGTAGTTTTTCAGGTTACAAGATTCAGGCATGAAAAAATGATCAAACAATGAGAGCAAAAACTGTTCTTTTTGATGAATTTAGAGAGATTAGTAGTATAGTTATCTATCATATATGTATATACATACATATATACATATATGTACACATATACACACATACATACACATACATACACATATATATGAATCACAGTTCTTAATCTCTATACCACAAGGTTTTTCCCACCAAAAAGAAGTGTTCAAAAGTATTCATCTCACTTGGCCCAGGAATTTCACAGTAATTAACCATGCAAATATGCTTATCTATATGCAAAATGAGGTATGTATGAGATTATTCACCACAGCATTATTAATAGCAAACAACCAATTCTAGTATTACTCAGCCACATAAACATATCTATATGCAACTATTTCTAAAAGCAAGCAGATCAGATAAATACTGATCCTTTTGTCCAAGGAGAAAAAGTCAGGTGCATAAGAGTGTATATACCAGCATTTGTGTACAAGAAACAAAGGGGAAAGTCTGAGTACATGACTCCTTGTTATACATAGATTGTTTCTAGGAGGACACAAGAAATGTGTTTAACAGTGAGTTCCGAAGGGAACCAGCTGGCTGGGTGACAGAACAGGAGAGACAATTTTCACTGTAATCTTTTCTATAGCTTTTGAATTGTATATTGTATAAATGTATCACTTACTAATTTTTAAGTTAAAAGATTATAAGAATGAAGGGAGAAGGTAGATGCCTGACACAAAGAAAGCACCCAATAAACAGCAGTTACCATTATACTTCTTTCCCCATATCTGACTTCTAACTTGTATTAGCCACCTTTCCCATTGCTGGCATACAATACCCAACACACAACTTATAGGAGAGGCTTAACCTAGTTCATGGTTTAAAGGATTCAGTCCATGGCTGGCCAGCTCCACGGCTCAGATGTCCTGGTGGCTTCAAGCTGCTCAGTTCACCATATCTGGGGAACAGTCAGGAGAGGAAGAGGCTGGGGCCACACACAGTACCCAACACGGCACCTGCATGCCCCCCCCCAGACACACCCAGAGGTGAGCCTTTCTATCCCCTATGTGGATCTCAAGTCAGTCAAGTCAAGCCCATGAAGCCTCACCACCACATAACTCTCACTAATACAAACACATTCCTGCAGCAAAACATGCTCTCAAATCCTGGCTTAGGAAAGAGCTCCTTTTAGATTAAAAACTAAAGAGCAAATCAGGAGCTGCATGAAGTGGTGAGAGAAGACTCCACCCACCTTGAGGGTTTTCTAGAGCTTCTGAAGTGAGCGTCAGAGCGCTGGCAGCAGAGGAGTGCACTCTGTCAGCCTCGGAGTCCACACAGGTTGCTACAACAAAATACCTTAGACTGGGTGGCTGATAAACACCAGAGATTCCTTCCACACAGCTCTAAAAGCTGGGAAGTCCAAGGTCAAGGCCCAGGCAGAGGCAGTGCAAGGCGGGGCGCTGTGTCTGGGTTCACAGGTACCTTTGCCTTGTGTCTGCACATCTCGAAAGGGCCAAGACAGGTCTTGGAGGCCTATTTTGTGCAAGCACTGGTCCTACGTGTGAGGGCTCTTCCCTCCTCGACCGAATCACCTCCCAAAGGCCCCAGCTCCTACTGCTATAGACTTGGGGGTTGGAATTTCAACACCTGAATTTGGGGGTATACGAGCATCCAGACCCTAGCACCTCTCTTCAGAGAAACCCAGTCACTGGGCATCTTCTCTGCTTCTACTTTGTACAATCCCTGGGCACCAAGTGAAAGCAATTACTTCTCATCCTAACAGCAGCCTGTGCTCTCTCTATGGTTCTTCTGATCTACCACAGTGGAAACGCTGCCCCATGCACCTGCCAAGCTGCAAAGTCATCGGGGTCTCCGGAACCAGCCGTAGTCTTAGCAACAGAAAGTTTGTCGGAGCCCAGCTAACCCAGGTACAAAGCCTGGCTCCACCCTCAGCTGAGAGTGGCCCACAGCAACATGCTTAGCCTTTCTGAGTGCACTGCCTCAAGGGGACACCGGTCTATTCCACAAGATTCTGTTAGCCAGGGTAGCCGGCTCCAGGGACATAATTAATGATTACTCAAGGTTAGCTACTGGGGCATTCCACCTGCAGTCTGGCCACTTTGTCCCCAGACCAGCTACTGTCTCCTCTTTATCCTTCCCCTTCTTCCACACATGGCTACCCATGCATACACACCAACAACCACAAACTTCAGGTTTACACGACCGGCTTCCCACCCCCTCCTCTTACGTCAGCAAATCCTGACGTCAGCAAGATGACTCCCCTCTCTACATCCTGCCGGGTCTTCATTATGTTTCTCCAAAGAGCCTTTGCCAGGCGCCCTCAGAACACTGATCGCCAAACCTGAGCGCCGCTGACCTCTCTTCCCCATGTAGCTCTCCGCCAGCTCCTCTGAAAAGCCTTCCCCGGCCACCTCACCCTTCTTCCGTTACCCCCTCCCTTCTTCCCGGCACTCATCACCACCAGGATATTCGTGATAATATGCATCTATCTTCGTGAGCCTCAAGAGAAGGCGGCTCTGGGCTGCCACGTGCCCAGCCCTGCTCTCCCAGCTCAGCACAGTGCCTGCACACAGCAGGCGCCTAATATATACACCCCCAAGGTCCACAAGGCTGTGGGGGGGGGGGGGACGCAGACTGCTGGGCTCCAGCCACAGCGACTCCAATTCAGAAGGCAGGAATCTGTGTTTCTAGAAGCAGCAGTCTCTTTCCTCCCAAAGCAGGTTCCACGTAAGTCCTACTCTAAGATACTCTGGTCTGGCCCTTCACCTCCAAGTGATTTTCCCCCTAACTCGAGCACTTTGCGCACAGACCCCAGCCCAGCAGCTTCCCCATGTCTTGGTCACTGATCCCCGAATTTGAAGTTGGACAAGCCCCACCAACGCCAGTTCCATGTCCAGTGCCAGACACAGCAAACTCGCTGGCCAGTCAGGCTTAAGTCCTCTTCAGCCAAGAAACACCTGAGCAGGTCTGGACTGCTGTTAGGTGAGCCAGGTAAATTTCCACACTAGCTCACCTGGGACTTTCCCCAGGCCCTGGGACCAATTCATACAGACTCTGAGCAGCTTCCCAATAAGGGGATAAGGGGTGGGAGTGGGGGAGAGGCCAGGGCCTCTCAGATGACCAAAGCAGCAGGCAGATACACCTCACCTTCCAAAAGCCAAATCCGAACGGCAACGCACCAGAACGCATGGGCTCTGGTGGGAAGTCTCACTGTTTTTTCTGTTTCTTTTCTGTATTGCGACTTCGGAAAACACTCAGCTCTTCCTTAGCACCTGGTGGGTCACCAGGGTTGGCCTGGGGGCGCACCAGTAGGGCTTCCTTCACAGCGCTCGCCCCTCCACACTGGCCCTGACGAGGCAGCCTCCACCCCAAGGTAAAACTCGGCTCCCTCGGGGCTGGCACCGCTCAGGGCGCCGGCACCTGGGTGGGGCCGCACGGGGGTCTGCGCGCTGCGCTCACCTCCCCGATCTCTTCGGCTGCGGCGGGAGGGGGCGCAGACCCCGAACCTGCTGCGGGAGGAAACCGCCGCCAGCGCCCCCTCCCCGGCCCTCCACGCGCCCCGTGGCTTGGGCTCCGGAGGAGAGCACCACGCCCCGACACACCCAACTGCGACCCCGACCCAGACCCGGCTCAGGCCCCAACCCCGCCCCGCCCCGCCCCGCCCCGCCCCGCGGCTCCCCGCGCAAAGTTGAGGCTCCAGAAAGGAGAGGGGGGCGGCGCGAGCCGGGGACTTGCGGAGCCGAGGGGTTCCGTCGTCTCGGACGCCCCGCGCCCCTCCGTACTCGGCCGCCAGGTCCCGCGGACCCCCGCACCCCACCCCCGGCCCGCACTCACCCGCCGCATGGTGCCTCGGCGGGCTCCGCGCGTCCCCGCCCCACGCGCGCCGCGGCCTCCGGGACGGGGGAGGGGAGGGGGAGGTGCGGAGGGAGGGGCTGCCCCTCCCCCACTCCCCGGCCGCGCGGGGACCAGCGAGCCCGCCCACGCCGCGCCGTGGAAAGTTAGAGCCAGAGCTGCCGCCGGCCCGGGAAGGCGGATGGAGAAGGGGACGGCTGGCCGCGTAGGGCACGGTCACCGCCGGAGAGGACTCCGGGTTTCTCCCATGACCTGGAAAGCGGCCCGTGCACGCCCTACTTTTGCCAACCTGAGATGTCCAAAAACGTGTGGGCAGGGGGGTAAGAGGGCGAAACCCCGGAGCCCGCGTGGTGGCGCACGCCTGAAATCGCAGCCTGGCGGAGGCCGAGGCAGGAAGAACACGGCGAGACCGAAGCCAGCCGGGCTGCAGGGCGAGACCGTGCGGAACGAGGGCGTGGGGAAGGGGAGGGGAGGCGGCGGGGAAGGAGGGGAGCAAAGAGCAAAAGAAGGGAGAAAAACAGGAAAGTGAGAAACCTGCATCAACCCAGGCTGGAGAAAAGCAGGCCGGGCTCCCGCCCCGGTCCCCACCAGGCCGGCAGGTACCCCGGACGCGCGGGCTCCACCCACCCCAACTTCTTCGGGCCACGCGGGACGCTCATCCCCCAAAGCTACCGCCCTTAGGGAAAAAAGAGTAAACGCAGACGCGGGGGTGAGTCCTCCGGCTCACCTGGGCGGCGGGTGTAGAGGAGCACGGTGCAAGGGGTGCGGGCGCGGACCCCTGGCTTTGCGGGGCTTTGTGGGACGGAGCGCCGCGGAAAGCACGGAATTGCGGGCCCGCGAGGCTGGGCACACACGCCTGCCGCTGGCCCCGCGCTCCGCCCGGCAGCGCTCTGCGAAGAAGCCGGCGCCCTGTCCGGGCGCCCGCGGTGTAGACCGCAGCAGGACCGCCCCCCGCGGTCTTCCTTGGGTCTCTGCGTGGTGTCTGTCAGCGTGGTGTCTGTCAGGGGAGGAAGGACCTCAGTCAAGCCTGCTGCCTGCTTTTTCACTCCAGGCTCTGCCTACCAGGGACTTTTGTTTATTTTTTCCTCCCTTGACATGGCTGTGTTCAAACTGTTCTTTTTGCTCTTAGGGGAATAAACGCAATTTCAGTGTGTGTATTTGTACTGCCAGACAGCCCTATGAGGCAAGAAGAGAGAGACTATGATTTGCAGGGGAGCTGCTTGGAGTAGAGAGGGCAGGTATCTGTCCCCAGGACACACAGCTTTTAGTGGCGTGACCAGGAGTTCGGTTCGGGCAGCTGGATCCCACCCTTCCTGAGTCCTGCCCCAGATAAAAGGTGTCACGGGGCAGGGCTGCGACCCGGGACAGCGTGAGCTCTCCTCACAGACCCTGTGAGTCCTTTCCCCTCTCAGGGGCTTCGTTTATAAAGTAAAGCTTGAACTACACAGATGCACTAAGAGCCAGAAGAAAAGTTTGAAATTCGAAGTTTTACTACACGAGGAGTTTGTGGTAGGCATTGCGGGCAATCTTGGCCAGGCGGTAGGATGTTGGTTGGTTTGTTGGTTTGTACAGCGGCTCCTTACAGCGTCTTGATTATCCTGTCTTCTTCCTCTTTCTCCTCTTCCTGATTAAGGATCTTAGCTCTGCAGATGCAATACGTCACCCAAAAATTAAGAATTGCTTACTAGACTTGAGTAAGACCCCAGGAGTGCTGGGGGCTAGGAAGGGTGGGGGGATCAGTAAGGTCATTGTTAGGGCGACCTTCGAGCATTAGCCTGGAGAATTTTCAGACTTCTTTTAGAAACCAAGACAGTTATTCAGCCCTTCCAAGTAACTGACAGATGACATGGCAGCTGGTACAGGAGCACACATTGGTGTGGCCCATGTGTGGAAACCCTGTGTCCGGAGCTCTGAAGAACTAACCTGGAGAACTCACAGCCAAAAGGAGACAGAACCAGATTCTCCCTTTGGGTGGTGCGTGTGGGTGCTTTGGCTGTTGACAGAATCTTCTGAGGGTTTTAAGGCTAGTGTTGTCTCTCTGTCTCCTGCTAGACTCAGTATTTGGTTTCCCTGAAAACAGCTTAGTAGTGAACCAAAGTTTTGTTTTACTTTGTTTTAATTTATTCTTTTTTCTTAATAGCTTGACATCTCTGCTGGTAACAAACCACAGTGCTATTCCTCCCTCTTTTCTGCCCCTGGGGCCAGATTCATGGGTCTCCATCTTCAGCCCAGTAGGCAGTGTCCCAGGTTGGAAGTCCACTCCACTTCTTCCCTTAGTTACTAATGTACAGAGGTCTTGGGCATAAAACTGGACAGAAAGGATCCAGTTTATTTCACATAAGAAATAAAAGACAAATATGTTTTCTGATGTTTGCAGATATGAAATATAACAAATTAGCATGATTTCATATCAGTCTGTCATTCTTTGTGTACAAACATATAAGTGATAAAATGCCACTTTCTCTACCTTAAGTTAGAATCATTCAGACGTCCTCTGCTATGTACCCATTATGCTGGATGGGGCACACTTTATTGTTTAGCCAATCATTTTCCTCTAAAATGGATCAAGAGTAATTTCAAGCTGGGCATGGTGACGCACCCCTGTGACCCCAGAACTCTGGGAGGCTGAGGCAGGAAGATTGAAAGTTAGGAGTCCAACATGGACATCTTAGAGACTTAGTGAGACCTTGTCTCAAAATTTAAAATATTTAAGACTGGAGATGTAGCTTATTGCAAAAGCCAGTTCAGGGCCAGGAATATAGCTCAGCAGTGCCTGGGAAGCATGAGGTCCTAAGTTTGATTCCCAGCCCCCCACCTACCCCAAAAAACCTCCAAGTTCAATGCCAGCACCACATACATAAACACATACACACACGTGCAAAAGAAAATACTTCAAGCTAACATCTATTCTATCTACATGCTCTGAGCACTTTGTATGGTCTAGGTACCGTGACAAGCCATTTCACATGTCTCAATACATTTCATCCTTCCACAACCCTACTGGATAGCTGTATTTCTTCCACATAAATGATATATAATAAATTAGACAACTAACATCTATCAGTATCAAAGAACTTGCCAAAGGTTGCTTAGCTAATATGTGACATAGATGTAACCCACACCCATGTGGCTCTAGTGTCCAAGATAAACCCATGACAGGTACACAATAACTACTGTAGACTTTTTCTCTCTAGACTGTCTTCGGAGCAGTGGAAATGGAAGCAGTGGAAATGGAGTTTCATGTTCAGTGAAACTGACTTTCTTCAGGTATTTATAGTAAAATAAAATGGAGCTGGGGAAGAAAGAGCTCTTTGAAGGATGAGTCTTTAGCTTTGAGGCGAGGATGAGACTAGATGAGTTGTGAATATTCTTCATGGTAGAAGGAGCCACAGCTTGGGAGTGGTGACAGGAGGACCACAGCCCTCAGGGAACCTGTGCCATGTGGCGGGGAGCTAAGCCTGTCACCGAGGAGCTGGGTGGCTCCTCGGACCACCATTGCATGGATTCCCTCCATTGTTTTCTATTGCAGTGTCGGTCACTTGGTTTTTATTTTTTGAGACAGGATGTCACTGAGTCACTGAATTCAGGTCACCCATGATGCAGGGGAAGGTCTGCATGGTTCTCTGCTGCTTCTTTTCCTTCTGTCCCAGTAAGTGCTGCCACCCCACTGATCCTTTTGGGAAGAGGGGTTGAAGAGCTTGGGGGGTAGGAAGGTGCAAGTGCTCGCCTGGGGCTCATGTCATCTTTGCAGAGCAAGCCAATTCTTCTGTCTGCTTGGGGACTCTGTGCTAGAGCTCACCCGTTAATGGGTGCTTTGGAAGACACAAATTCACCTACACCCCCAATACTATTTGCAACTTGTTCCCATACTCTGCCTTAGCCTTCATCTAAATGCATGTCATTTTTGCATTTTTAACTTGTCTATCCTATTAGACTCTGAGCTCTTTTAAAGAAGGGGCTGTCTAAATACTATGCTTTTCTGTATCTCCAGGGATCACAAAGTAGATATATGTGTTTAATAAAGGAATGAGAGGAGAAAAGTGTCCCCATCATACTGTGACCTACCACTCTCCCTCAGCAAATGGTTCTCTGTTTGCTAATTGCCTTTAGTGACTGCCAACTATGCACTTCTCCTCAATATGTATCAACTGTCCCCTCGTGCTGCCATTGGAGTTGTTTCCACTCTGCTGAAATTCTCCTGTGACATGGTGAGCAGGGACGTAATATGACATGAAGAGAGCTAGGGAACAAGAATGTGCTCACAGTTGGTTAGACGCTCGGGGGCATGGAGGAGGCCATCGGAAGTCACTCCGAATGCAGCTTCTGGGGCAACAAGGCCAGGACAAGGATGGGGGTTGTGCAATGGGAAAGGAGAAGCAGTTTCTACTCTCACTGCCACAGGGGAGGATGTCATCATGGATCACCCACCATGGGACACACTGTCCTGGGCGGGGAGCACTGTTTTGGAACCATGGACAGCTCCCAAGTTGTCAATCAGGTCTGATAGCGTTTAATAAATCACAGGTAACATTAAGCACATGCTCAAGGAAAGCTTTACATGCATTAGCCAATTGAATTCTCATGAAGTTTATATTCAGCCATGCAAAGTCATACAGATAGCAGATGGCAGAGCTGAGTACTGTCGGAACCCACATAGTCTGGCTCCAAAAGCCATCATGGCTTACGCCAATCAGGGTTAACTATGAGACAGGCTCTCACTGAACAAGCACAAACGAGGCATACTGCACTACATGGTAAGGGACAGGA